CCTGGTCTCTCAGCTCTCCCCTGACTTCCTCAGGTGCTTGGGGAGCGGGGTAGGGCAAAAAGGATACAAGTGGATCTGGATACGAAGAGCCCGGTTGGGAAACCCTTCCCAGTTGCTGTTGGTTTCAAAATCTGGGCCACTAAGACTAAAAATCTTTTCCCTGTCCACAAAGGAAGCTGGTTTCATTTCAGGCTTCTCAGATTCCAAATCCTGGCTCGTTTAAGCTGTAACAACACCCCCCTTTCCTGCACAGAGAGGCCACAGAGCCTCTTCTCCCACACTGGCTGGGAACCACACACTTCACCTCAGCGAGCGTCCCACAAGATAGGATGTCTCTTGGAACTTCTTATACCTGGCCATCTTTGATAAAAATGATTTGAGAGATTTTTTTTTTCTCTTTTTCCTCCCACCTTTCATAGCCTTCTGGAGCACTGAAATACTCTTCTGAAGGGGAAGGAAGGTGGCCCTCAGGGATCTTCATCATCAACAGGGGTGGTGCCTCCCCCTTTCAGTCATCTCTGGGCTGTCCTTTTGATGTCACTGCTAGCCCCCACTCCCCCACCCGGGGTTGGGTGGAGTCCAGTACAAAGTGTTTCTGATTGGGCCCCACCCACTGTGTCTGCAGGCTGTAATCAGTCAAGCAACCTTCCTCCCCCTCCCTCCTTCCCTGCTCCCTCTCTCTCTCCTTCCCTTCCTCTCTTTCTCCTTCCCTCTGTGTTGAGGCCCCTCCACACAAATGTCCTGTGAAATTCTTGCCTATCTCTACAGTCCTCTGGCCTAGCAGGCATGATGGCCGCTCTTCTATTTGAGGATTGAGCAGTCCTGGTGCCTCCTGGTCATGTATCAGCCATCTGGTGAGGTTCAACCTCAAGCTGTGTTGCTCTAGGGATCTTCCATCAACAACTGGCTCTCCAGAGGCCAAGAGTTGCAGGCCCACGTTTAAGTAGGTCTGGCTACCTTGGAAAGTGAAAGTGTGTTTCATGCCTCTCCAGTTCAGACAGGCTCTGGCCTCTGAGGGCTTGTGAGTGAATCAATTAGTCCAGTCCTCACAGGTGTTCTAACTGTGGGTCTTGTGGTGGTTTGAAGGAAAATGGCCCCCATAGGTCCACAGGGAGTGGCTCTCTTAGGGGGTGTGGAATGTGTCACTGGGGTTGGGCTTTGAGGTTTCAGAAGCTCAAGCCAGGCTCAGTGTCTCTCTTCCTGCTGATCCGGATGTAGAACTCTTGGCTCCTTCTCCAGCATCATGTCTGCCTGTGTGCCATCATGCTTCCTACCTTGTCGATAACAGACTAAACTTCTGAACTGTAAGCCACACACAATTAAATGTTTTCCTTAGTAAGAGTTTCCTGGGTCATGGTGTCTCTTCACAGCAATAAAAACCCTAAGACAGGTTTCCATACTATCTCCCTTCAGGGCCCATTGTCCCAATTTCCCTCCTCAAGAGGACACCAGTCATTTGAGATTAGAGCTGCCTTTCCTGACCTCTCTTTAGTCAGGGTTCTCTAGAGGAACAGAATGGATAGAATGCATTTATACTGTCAGAGGACTTTGTTGGAAGTAAATCTGGGCTGTTGGAGGTTGGGACTTGAAACTCCTTTTCAGGTGTGGGGCACAACTTAACTCAGAATGCAAGCTGGGGTACAGTAAGATCTGCAAAGACATGCTACTACAGGCAGCTGTCCTTAAATGAAGAGTAGAGGCCAGTCATACTGACACAGAGACATTTTCCTGGGCCTAGCTCCTTCTTTCTTCACAGACAACACCAGACCTGGGGATTCCTGATGTTCTTAACTGACAGCCAATGACTGAGACTAGAAGCTAGCCTTTAGACTGCCACTATTTCTTATACCCCACGCTGAGCATTTGGACTCAGCCTCTCCCTCCCTCTTCTTTATTCTTTCTACATTCATATCTTTCCTTTGACTACCTGTGCTAGGGAGGATTGGGGCCGCCACAACACCATGGTCATGTCTCCCATCTCCAGATGTTCATATGTGGTCTCCCTGGGCCTGATGGGCTTTTCCCAGCTCCTGTCCAGGAAGGAACCAACTGTGTGGATGCTGTATTTCCAGGGCACAGCACATCTGGCACATGGTGTCCATTAATATTTTCAACTATGTTATTATTATTATTATTATTATTTCAAGATATTTCTCTGTGTACCCTTGGCTGTCCAGGAATTCACCCTGTAGGCTGGCTTCAAACTCAGAGATCCACCTGCCTCTGCCTCCCAAGTGCTGGGGTTAAAGGTGTGAATTAAAGGTGTGCCCAGCTCATTTTTCTAAGTATCTTAAGTGGATGAGCAAACAACAGCTCGTGTTTCTTAAGGTGTTTGAGGAGGGCAGACCCACCCTGAATGCGGGACACACCATTCCGTGGGGTGAGATCCCTGAACTGAAAAGGAGAACGCTGGCTTCCCAGCATTTCCTGTTCTCTGCTTTCCGTTCTGCTGAGCTGAGGGCTTTCCCAGGCACTGAGCTTCCTAAGAGGTCTGGAGGTGCTTTCTAGTCGGGTGCGGCTGTGCATGCCCTACAGAACCTGGCTGCTCTTTCAGAGGATTCTGGCCTTTCTTCAGGTGGTTCCACTGGATGTTCCCACAGGCCGTGAATAGCAAGGTGTGAGGTAGCAGTCTCCTGTATTGATTCAGCACAGACTTGCACATCTCTCCTGCCTGGCACACAGACCAGTAAGGGAGAGACTCATTAGGAGCAAGGCTGACTGAGAGCTCTGTATCACTTGGAACCAGGGACAAGGGGACACCCACTGTGCAGCAGGCCCCTGAGCATAGGGAAAATCAGAACAAGTTTGGAAACAGATAACACGAAGAAAGGGAACAGGGCTTCTCTCAAAGGTGAAACCCAAAGGCTAGATACTCTTGCGAGAGGGTGACAGGCAAGTAGTTCTAGGGACAGCCACTGTGTCAGCACCAAATGCTGTCCAGGAACAATGGCCCCATCCCCAACACTCCACACGCAAACCAAGTCCCATAATTCCAGGGCTAAAAGCCTGTCAACCTGGCAAACACTCGGCCACGGCAAAGGCAATCTCCCTTCTGAGTAAGATAGCTCTCATGCTATAGAAGACCACTAGCATGGAAATTCTAGGACAACTCCCAGGGGCCAGAAAGCAAGCTCTGCCCCTGACACCTGTATGCACCTACCCTGGAGGACCCTCTACAGCCTTCTCAGCTCTCCAGCTCCGAGGCTGACTCAACAGCATACTTCATTTCATAAATCGATTGGGGACTGGCAGGCTGCTGGCAGTTAAGAGGACAGTGGGACACAGCATGCTGCTTTGCCTCAGATGTGCTGCAGGCTGACACAGAGAGAATGCATTCTTTTACTCGGCTCTCCCAACTAGCACGGGCCACAGCACAGGATAAGCGTGTGACTCTCTTCACGTGGGGCTGCAGCCTGCTGGGGAGGGACATCAGTAGACTATCATTGCTGCGTCACAGTGCTCTGAGTCCCGAGGAGGACATGATGTCATGAGTGGAGTAAGAAAATGACTCTCAGGTATGTTTCTTATTTGCTGCGATAGAATACCTGATGACAGCAACTTGGAGAAGGACTTCCTCTGACTCAGCGTGGGAGTACAAGCCCTCATGGTGGAAATGGCTGTTAGCTTACCTCCCCACAGAGGGCAAAGATGCTGGCACTCAGCTGGCTTCCTGTTTCCCTTTTTATTCAGTCTGAGCGCCAAGTCTATGGGATGGGGCCACCCTAAAACAAGATGGATCTTTCTCAGTTAAACCTCTCTGGAACTGGCAGTTCTACTCCCAGAACGGGGAAGCTGACCTCATCCCAGGCACTGCCAATTATTTCAATAAATGTTAAAATTCAGGTATGTCATAGAAGCATCTAAGGGAAAATTCAGAGTATTTTCCCATGTCAGGACTCAGATCTCCTTCTGAACCCTTTTTCTCATCAGTATGAAACCAATGCTGTCCAATGCCTGTTTATTAGCTTCCTCCAACCCCAGGAGTAAGCAGGAAGGCAGGTCGGCTGGGAGCAGGCTAGCTTCCTACAGCAGCTGAGTCTGTTGTGATTGTGATGACCCCAAGGCTGTTATCTGACATGTGGTTTTGTTATCATAAAAAGAATCTGAAGCTCCAGGAAGAAAGTGGCTGAGGCTCTGGGAGGGTAGAAGACAAGGCAGGTAGGAGAGGTGGGCCACCCCGTTCACACTATATAAGGGCACAGGGGATTTGAAGAATTTGTTAAAGAGGCCACTGGAGTTAATCCTGAGCCCCTATTGATTCAGTCTTCTCAAATGGATTCAAAGAAGTGGAGCATATTTTATGAATCTCAAACTTTGCCTTTCATGAAATGGTAGTTTGTACAGAGATCAGTAAACTACAAGTCACTCTGCTGGAGCCACCACACACGGGGTTTCCTTCCAACAAATGTTTGGTGTCCAGTGAGAGAATGCGCACACTACCATGCGGACCACCGTCCCTGCCTGTCAACCCTGGTTTGGATGCAGCGGAAGCCTGTGTGAGTGGGCAATGCATTGTGCCAACTGCGGCGAAGTATCATGTACTAATGACATCCACTGATGAGGACAGGCCACCAGGGCTCCACGTACTAAGCTCAGGCAACCAAGCTGTGCTAAGACGGGGTGCTCTGGAGTTGGAGGGCACCTTTGTGTTAAGCCTGGTGGGACAATTCTGGGAGTGCATTCTTTCAGCACAGAAAGGACAAGAGGCTTTCCTGCACACAGTCACCAATCCCTCTGCCCTAACCCCTGCCACCAGTGGCTTGCAAGAGCAGGCAAGCATCTTAGGACCTGCCAGTCTTTCTGCACCAGCAGGGGTGGGGGCAGCGGCAGGTTCCACTGGATTCCATTTAGCTCCTACCACATAGGAAACATCCTCAAAGGGCATTTCCCAAAGGTTGTGGCAAGACTCCATCACACTGAAAAACCCTTTTCTGCATAAATCCAACATCCTAGGCAAAGGTGCCACTCTTCAGAAAGAAAAACTCAGAAATGCCAACAGCTGATTTTGAACCTTTAATAAAAGTAAAAAAAAAAAAAAAAAAAAAAAAGAATGCAAAAAGAACACGATGCTGCAAACTTAGCATGGACGTGAACCTCACTGGGTGTTCAGATCAGGGACAGTGAGTGTGGCTGGTACTAGTTACCATTTTTACAAACTCAAATCACTTTGGTTCAATGTAACTGCTATAAAACTATTGGCAAAAACATCCTTTCGATTCACCTTTTTTTTCTCCTACATTATTTCTAACAGATTTATTTCCAGTTTAAGAGGAAAAGAAATACTCATTGTATTCGATCAAGTACATTGCCAAGATCACTTGCTTTTCTTCTAGTCACTTGTGGCTTTTGTAAGACAATGAAGTCTTAGCTAAAGAATGCCTTCAGACGGCCAATCATTTGTTTTCATTTCCAGGAAATTTTAAGGATCGTTCCAAAGTCCAGAGCAACCCATTTTAGAAAACCAAGGTTTACTCCAACGTTTTTCCTCAAAACAAAATAAGCAAAACCCCAATGAGGATCACCGCGTGAGCCAACCCAAGCCCAGGTGTCCAGAAGGCACAGGGCTTCCACTCTGCCTGAGGACTGACTACTGCTTCCAGTCAGTTCCACAGATTTTAAAACAAACCAAAAAACACTCACATTTTGGAATACAAAAAAGGGTACATTTGTAAGTAAAAATTACTAAACTCACAAAACTGGAGTACATCAGAGGACTAGGGCCCCATGGAGGGTGTGACTAAGGGAGAGTCACAACTGACACCAGTATTGCTGAGCTCGCCTCCATGAAGCCCTGAAATGACCCGAGAACCCTTCCCTGGAACAGCTCACGTGGTTAAAAAAAAAAAAAAAAAAAAAAAAAAAAAGAAATAAATATTTAAGAGAATACAAGGCTCAGATTGGTTTTCATACACATTGCACTTGAAGTCGAAGACCCAATACTTGCAAGTTAGGTCCCACGTGTTCTATGCCATCCAAAGCATACAGGACACCGCGTGCTTAACACGGTGATGTGCACACTTAACCTTTTACAAGCAATCACAGATTGCAAGCTCCATAGGGCTGTGGAAAAGTCCTCTCCACTCTGGAGTGACAAGAGACACAATTTCGGCTCATTATGACTGAAACAGCGTAGACAGCTACTCGCTCTTAGATGGTCCAGCTCTTAGATAAAACTTCCTTTAAACTGAGGTGAAAAGTCCAGCATCACAGTGCAGAATCATGCATTTGCGCTGCCCCTGGCTTTCAGTAAGATTGTCTACCAATCTCTGGCAGTGAAAGCAAAGCTCCACGCTGGTGAGACCCACAGGAGCGCATGCCTGAGCGTGACCTGGAGATGTGGCTGCCTGGGAGCCACGGGGAGAGTGACCGTCTTCCAACTCCCTATTCTCTTTACTCCCTTCACACAACCCTATATTTTAATTCTGAGTAAATATTCTTACTGCAGATAATTTATCTGTTAAGCACCATCAACCTTTGGGCACTGACACAAAACTGCTAGTTGGATTCATTTTGATTCAAGGCTTTGAAATATGGCATTTTGCTTTGAATGATGAATGAAATCTAATACTCTGGAAACTGGGCCCCCTACCCCTCGCTCACATACAGCCTGGGCTGGACTGTTCCAGGTGCAGACCGCGTGAGGGTGGGTGAGGTAAGACTTTTAGGTAAGCAGTCCTTGCCTCCATTTACTAGTCTAGACTAAGTGAACACTTCTTCAGGAGTCATTTATCGTCAGCCCAGGCTAAATGGAACTTTGAGGAAAAGATCGTCTTCATCACACCCAGGACCAGTGTCTCCGCATCCTGCTTCCGCTCTGAACCACATGCCGAAGCTCAGTCACTGTGAGGCTTTTCTGGAACACCCTGTGTGGAAAAGCAAGAAAACAATCAGTGCTCAAATGCTTTCATTGTTGGGGCCTATATAATCGCTCGGGAAATGGCACCAGGCTCAGGAGGAGCTCCACCACTTCCTTTTAGGCTGCCAACGAGGCAGGCCTAGCCCTTCACCTATGGTGTTACAAGCCATACCTCAAAAAAAAAAAAAAAAAAAAAAAAAAAAAAAAAAAAGCCTGTTATGCACGAGTCATACAATGACCAATGTGTGACTAAGCTTCCAGCCACAGAAAACAGCACTTATCAAAGCAATGCCACCCACGCCAAGGTAGGACAGGTGCACCTGAGAGCTGACGCAGTGCAATAGGGCACTATTTTAAAGCGGATTCACGTGTGGAAAAGATAGGTGACTTCTGCTGGAGCTTTTGTCAGACCTGAGGCCCTCTAGCAGTTCAAGCCTGGGATCGCCGCCATTGCTAGGGCTGTAGGACTGATCTGCAGGATGGTGTCTTGTTGGGAGAGCTGACTGGACAGAGCAACAACAGCTGCCAGTGCAGGAGAGATAAACTGCTATTCATACATCCTTTGGAGCCCATAGACCTCCTGCTCTGTTCAGTTCTCCCACACTCAGTAGTCATACTTAGAGAATAACATTATGATCCTGGGAACCATGAGTTTCTGGACAGAAACGGGATCAGAGATAAGCCACCCAGGTGTGCGGCATGTCTTCCAGAAAACATGCGCTTCCCCAAAAGCTGACACAAGGAAGGCTTGAAGCAAACCTAAAGTAGTCTAGGTAATTTTTTTTCCTTCTTGTTTTTGACTATAGTTCAGGTTGGCCTTGAACTCACAGAGATCTACATGTTTTTGCTTCCCAAATCTTGGGATTAAAGGCATAGCACCACCATATCTGGCCCAGGTCAGACTATTGACAAGTCACTTGGAAAGAAAAATCAAGCCACGAACTTATTCTATTTACTGATTCCACAAACAAAACAGAATTTTAGAATACACAATCTTCAGGAGACTAAAAATAGATCTGTACTAGTATAAGAGGGCAAAAGACCCAAGAAGCCACAAATGAGCTGAGACTCACTGGAACTTGGGCACCTGGCTGCCCTTTAGGGCTACACAGAGTGTCCTAAATGGCAAGACTGTACCCGAGAAACCCACTTATTGACACCTGTTTTTATGTGCATTTGCAAGATGAATGACAGGCACATGCTCTATGTTAAAGGGCCAGGTTGTATATTAATAAGTAGCATGGTGCAAATTGCACACACTTGAGTAAACATACAGTTCCACATTTAAAACACATTAATCATGGCTTCTACCTCACAGCTTGAGGGCTCCATTAGCAATCCTGATCATAGTAAGCACAAGGCCATGGACAACAGTCAATGACCTGCAGATGTGTCTCCAGTGATGCAAGTGTGTCAGCAAACAACAGGAGAGACAAACTGAATCCAACAGCAGGGTAGCAAGCTCTAATTATCGTCCCTGGGATGTGATGTGACAAGAAGCTGACATACTCTTGGCTGCTGTTTACAATACAAAACCTTACTTTTTTGGGGAAAGGTTTTTAAATGCAAGCAGTAATAACTACAGCTTCTATAAATGGTGGCATCAATTTTCTCTAAATTAATGACAGGTTGATGACACACTTGCTGCATTTTCGGAAACACAGAAGAGACTGCTGTAATGCGATAAGCAGAGTCCCTGGGCATGGGTACCCTGTTAGTAACCAGGGTTTCAGTTCAAGAGAACTACAGGCAAGAACAGAGAGGACTGACAAACAGTGGGAGGGCGGCAAGGGTTCTGAGAAAGACAGTCTTCAAAGCTTGCTTAGCTTGGTTCCTCTCGGTCATCTCTAAGTGTACAGACCACTGGCATGCTTCAAAGTGTCCCCTCCTCCGCAGGCACACTACCTTCCTAAAAGGATAGGTGAGCACTGGCCTCCACCTCCCTCCACAAAGGTTACAACTCCTCTCTGACCGAAACTAGTCAACCTGCTTGAGGTCAACTTAGTCCAAAGACCCAAGGAATTCACTGCCAGACTATGGACAACCCTCAGAACAAGAAGCACCAGGAGTCATTCCTTCCAGTGCTCAGCACTGGGTGCACTGCAAGGGGACTGGGTGTGGGAAAAATAAGTGACGTCATGTTTTCATACGAAATGGATCTAGTTTAATAATAGTGGGGGGGTAGTTTTGTTTTAAGATACAGTCTCTGTATGTTACCCACATTAGTCTCAACTCAAGACTCTCCTGCCTCAGTCTTCGGGGTGCTGGGATTACAGGTGTGTCCGACCATGCTTGCCTTCTGGCAAGGTTTTTAATACCAAGGAAACTGGCCGAAGCCTCCATTAGGGAAAAAGTCAGTCTAACTCCTGACTGGCTGTGATCTGCAGAGGGTTAGCAGGAGCAGACAAGAAAGACACTTCAAGTTGTATCCTTTAGAAATGACTTGTATTTTTGTGAGCTATCCAAGCGGCCTTCAAATTCAGCTTCTCATGAGTGGGTGTCACATGAGTGTTTAAAAATAGAATGAAATACTGAGATAAGCACTCAGCGAAAGCTCAGAGTTCCTCTCTGTGCACAATGGCCCTTTCTTTGTCACCTTTCTGCAAAGTTCACTTTACTTAAGCCCATGGGTCAAAGTCATCTTGAAATAACATGTCGCATTTATTTATAAAATTAAAAGGTTCAAGTGGCAATTGCTACCTGCTGAAGAGACCTGCTACAGGACTGAACTCGGCTGCTTAGCTGCCTCGGAGCTTGGCGGCCCTGGATGCCAGGAGGTGGCACTGCTTTCTTTCCCAGGGAGAAAAGACATCGTACCCCAACAAGACAGTCCTTCATGCAGTGGCCAAGCCATGTTCCTGGGCTTTCTGGGTGACTCCTTCCCCAGGTGTGGCTTTGGGCAAGGGCAGTGCTTGCTGACCCAGGCTGTTCCCTGGTTTGACCATACACAAGCACGACCACCCTGCCATCGTCTGCACCCATTCATTTTGCTCACAGATACTAGGGAGCAGCTGACAATGTGGCTTCCAGCATGGCCGTACTGGAACTCTGGTTGCTTTCCAGCACATACACGTGTTTATGGATCCAAAGATCTATAGGTCGTAATTTAGAGAAGTCTCATTTTCTATTTAACACAGACTGTTCTCATCAACTGTTGCCAATGAATCTGAACGAGACAACATCAACACAAAATGTATGTGTCAAGCTACAAACCTGAAGGGCCCAGAGGCACTGATTGCTGCACTTACCATAGCTAACTGTCGTCCTATGTTTCCCACTGTGACGCCTCCTGAGAAAAATATACACGGGAGCCAAGAACGAATATAGAGGAAATCTGGGGATGTGTACCTAGGGAAAAAACAAAACAACCTTAGCTACCCAGGCAACTTGGGGTCCAGGATTCCCATGATATGGGTGTAGGGGGCATTGTGGCTACAGTTAACATCAAATGGCAGTCTCTGAAAGACATGTTTTATGGCCACCAGACCTTCACCGAGTTATAGATGGTGAGTTTTTTGTTGTTTGTTTCTAAAACAGGACTTTCTTTGTGTAGGCCTGGCTGTCCTGGAACTCACATAGATCCTCCTGCCTCTGCCTCCTGAGTGCTGGGATTAAAGGCGTGTGCCACCACTGCCACTACCACCTAACTGGTTAGTGAGTTTTTAACATGCACCAAGAAAAAGCACAAGATTTTCATGTTATTTTGCATAAACAACACACAAAAATACCTTCATGTAACTGGTGTTTTTTATAAAACACTGTAAAAGTAACATTTTAAATATGCACTTACTGGTAGACACCATTATACACAAGAAACTGAGTGATCAGCGTAGCTAGGAAGGCGATGGTGATTCCAAGCCCAAGGCCGCTTCGGGAGCGATCAAATGTCCACCACAGGCCCAAAGAAAGGGCTGCTAAAGTCAAGGACAGCTGGACATTATTGGCAAAATCCAATTTCTAGTGATCCAAAAGTTAAGGAAAAGTTTCATGATATGCCATCATTAAAAAACTAAACCTCAGAATTACTCACAGGCCACATTATTACACAGTAACTTAGTGCTGGTAATGATGGCACATGAGCAAAGCTGAGTGCCCAGGGAGTACCTCGTCCAGAGTGCTCTCTGGCTTCTGACTATAAGTTAGTTTTGCTAACTAAGACAGTGTCTCTACTCCCCTCCCTTACTTCTCAGTGAGTGGAACCAAGTAGGTACCGCCCCCATGTTGTTGCTGTCACCCCAGGCAACAGCTAAGTTAGTTAATTCAGTGCCTGTCAATCAGCACTCTCAGAGCTAGCTGGCAGAAAAGTGGGTGTACAACTTGACAATCTTTTACCCCAAGTTGCTCTAGAAAGTTAGTGTTTGAAGGGTTTCCCATCAAATTGACCATTTTTATAGAGAATGAAAACACAGCATACTGCATGAAGGGAGTATCAGTTATGACAAAGCCGGGGGAGCTCCTGGCTAGCCTTGCACTTCTGTGATAGAACATGTGCAAGGCTCTCTACATCTCTATCACAGAACAACCATGTCAGTGGGGTAGAAGGCAACAGGAAGGACAAATAAAGTCCACTGAGAGCCACAGTAACTGAGGGCCAGAATAAACCTCTGCTTCTGGTGTTAGCCCAACTGTGCCCTATGATGAATAAAAGGCCCTAAGAACTGAACCCCAGAATTCTTGCTAAGTGAAAGCTGAGCTATACTCTAAGTTCAGGGATGAGGCGATGATCATCAACACTTGGTCACAGTAACATTATGCCCTGCCCAGATGATACTCTGAACACAGACAGCAACTGAGGATACGGCACTGGCGTGGTTGATGCCAACGAACACGGCAATACAGCGCATGACACTGGCCCACTCTCTCTTGAACTTGTGCGGTTCTCCCAGGTGACTGTCAATACAGGGGTACAGTAAGCCGACAACAGCTATTTAAAGAAAAACAAAACAGTATTAGGATACACTGGCTAAAATTAGTCCTTGTGTGATCATTATTAATAGAATCAAAAACACTAATTTTCCTAGGCAGTTTGTCACCTCTCGCATAAAGTACTACTGTGCATATACCCTGAAAGAAAAGGCTATGGCAGGCCACCTCAAACTTTTCTCTTGGCCCCAGTGAGGACAAGTCTCACACTGTGAGGAGGGCAAAGCCCTAAGAAAAGAGAACCCTGCTGTCAGTCCCAGGCTGCCCTTGGGTGGCTGTGTCTCTGCGTTTGTTTCCTCATGTGTGAAATGTGGCTTATGTAAGTAAACTGGAGGGCAGAGATGGAGGAGGTTCTGTGGTTCTCAAAGTTAGGGACTGTCACAGACTCGGACTCCTAAACATTTAGACTGCAGCAAGCTAGGCATTCCAGAAAAGACCAAGAAAGTAAAAAACAGGAAGGAAGGGGCTGCCTACAGCACAAGTGGGAGAGGCCCCAGGGACACTGGGCACATGTGAATTGCAGCTGAGTTCAAGACCTCAGAGTTACCACCTTGTCTGGTATGGACACAGGCATTCAGCCTCAGCAGCAGTGAAAGATGCAGGTTCAGATACCCATACATTCAGCTAAGGAGAGAGACTTTTAGGTATTCCTGGGAGTCTTTATTACAAACAGGGTATTTCATGTTGAAGATAAGGTTTCAAGTTCAAAGGACCAAACCAGTATGTTCCATAAATATAAAAAAAACAGAACTTCAAATCTACATCCTATTCCCCAAAGAACTATTAATTGCCAGGGGTAATATGGTGGCAGATGATTTGCCTAACATGTACGAGGCCACTCCCAGTCCAAAACAACCAAGACTGTCCAACTAGTACAGCCATAAAGTGTTAAGCGTGTTTTGAGAACAAAGATGACAACTTTCTCCCAATGGCTACATAGACCTTCCTGGAAAAAGCACACAGCTGTGGAGAGGCTGAGCCCCACAATACTGCAGGTGAGCCTGAGAGCAGCCTCCGGAATCAGCAGCAAGTACCCCGCACATTACATTTAATCTGTGAGTCAGCTCCAGCACAGCACCCAAGCCCAGCGTATAAAGCATAGGCAGGCAGTCAATAAAAGCTGGCTTCAAAGCAGACAGCCACTTTTCCTGCTGTCCTGTGTGGCTACAAGCACAAGTGTGTCTCACCAAACTGAAGGAAAGATGCACCAAGGCCTTATACTGCCCACCTACACAGGCCAAAGACAAGGAGGACTGAGGAAGCAGGCACACCTGACAAATGTTTTTTTAATAAATGCTGTGCATTGAGGAGTATGAAGGAATCTGTTGGATTGTAAAACCAGCAAAATGATCAAGGAAAGAAAAAACAGAGGACTGTCGCATTCTCACAAGTTTCAGTGGGCCCTAGAGGCGACACCATTGGTGTGCCTAGGTCCAAAGGCTTCCCTTTTCGTCCTGTCCCAAGTCTACTGGGCCGCAGAGTTCCAGAAGGCTTGGCTGTCAGCCACAAAGCACTATCAGCAGAAGGAAGTACGGAGAAATCAGTCCCCTGGCAACTGCCTCTCGAGCGCACGTGATGGTTTGTTTTCAGTTATCCAGCGGGGTAGCACGTTTGCTCAGGCAGCCAATGGCCGCGTGGTGCTGCCCTCACCAGTTCTCCAGGCAGCCAATCCTGGCTTCTGGCTCTGCGAGACAGCTGCGACTCCTCCACTTAAACTGCCAATTATCTCCTGACCTCATCTCCATCACTAGTCCCTCCAACTTCCGCCTGTCGCTCGCCAGCGTCTGGGTCTCCCTACCCTGTCGTACTCCCTTTCTTATACCCAGGGAGACTTATCAGCTGACGTGTCCCTTCTTCCCCCCACCCCCAACACACACACTCCAAGAACAAGAAAGGGCACTCACCAGCTGCCGTGCCACAGCACGGGGGCACCCACCAGGCGGAGGAGAAGATGGTGGCGATCACCTCGTCGGGGAAGAGCGTGACATTCCGCTGGATCTGCAGCAGGTTAAGCACCAGGGCCAGGACCACGCCGAAAGAAAAGAGCACGAGGCTCCGCTGCACCAGGTCGTGGTGCCAGCTGCCGGGCCGCGCGCTGCATCCCGCCGTTCCCGCTCGCTGGCCCCGGGGCACCGGCTCTGGGGTTCCGGGCCCCTGCGGACAGTGGGCTGCCGCAATCATTCCTCGCGGGATGCTGTACGGCCTCGCAGTGCCGGCTCTTGGGTAGCTCCAGACGTGGTCGTGCAGCCTGGGCATCGGCGACCAGGCGCACCGTGGGAGGCGCACGCCACGACACCACGCTGTAGCGCGCCCGGACGGCCCAGGAGCGGCCGCGGCCCCGCGCGGGTTTCGCTTATAAGGCGGGCCGTCGCCGGCGCCACGTGGCCTGACCCAGCCTATCCACCGCCCGCGCGCCCCGCTGCGGGGCGTGTCTTCCAGGGGCCCCGCCCTGCCCGCGCGCCTGTCCGCTCGGGGTCTGGTGAGGCCGTGGGAGCCAATGGAAGAAGGGCGGCCCATATGACGTGCGCACACGCCACTGGGGGGGTGGGGTTGGTGCCCGGCACGCGCGCTTGGGGCGAGTGCGCGCTGTACGGGGAAGCATCCGGACGAGTCCCGGAGCTGGCGGCGCGCGGGTCGGATAGTCAGGCGCTGCCCTGCCCTGCCCTGCCCTGCCCCGCCCCGCCCCGCCCTGCCCTGCGTTACGCAGCCTGACCTCGGTTTCTGAGATAATGCCGAGGCGCGCCGCTCCTCTCCTTCTCCAGGGTCCCGGCGAACATGCACAGCGCAAACCCTCCCGAGTCTCAAAAGACCTGGGGTCCCTAAACCCGAGCGCCGGTGTTAGGTGGTCTGCAGGTTCACAGCCCAGACCAGAGCGTCGCTTAGCCAAAATCCCACGGGCTAAAGCGTCAAGGTCGGGAGCTGGCCTGAAAAGGCACCCTGTGACCTTAGGTAAGGCGTGTGGCTCTGTGCCCAAAGTGTAAAACAAAGTCACCCTCCTAAGAAGACTGCTCCTCAAAGTTCACCGTGACACAGCATGGGTGTGGGTGACCCGGCTGCCTTCGTCATCTTTCCCTCACAACCTGTCCATTCCCCTCTAAGCCGTGTTGGCGGTTCTATGCGTTGTTTAGAAGGGCGTGAAGCAGTTTTGACTTCAAGGAATGATGCAGTTTGGGTCTTGGCCATTTTTCACACTCGGGCCCAAGCAAACATGTGAAGGTTTCGTGGACACACAAACACACACGGGAGAGGGGGATATCAGTACTGTATGCTGTGTTACACCAACGTGGGAGCCTCTCTAACAGCAAAACGCAAGAGGGGCCTCCCAATTCCAGCTGATAAGAAGTTAAAGGCAGCAAGTCTCTGCCGTGAATGTAGCAGGTGCTGCCTTTACTGCCATCATCGGGCGACAAGTCCTCTAGACAGATGTTGAGAAAGCGGCACCTGGGTAAATACACACAACTTTGCCCCTAAGGGACAGACACATCACTCACAGGAAACTTGGCCCTAAGGAACAGACCTGCCAGTCACTTGGAGGAAGCTGGCATGATGGGACAGGCTGCAGCACCATGCATCTGTCTTCTGAGTCCTGGGATGTATTCCAGTCCCTTCTCAAGTCATTTTGCTTGTCCTTACAGATTACCTCATGGGTTCTTCCTGTTGTTGTAGTCCTTATGGGAAAGCCTACAACTTATAATAATTCGCGTATTTCTGCGTTGCTTGCTGCTGGTGTGGAAAGCAGGGAGTGATGTCTTCAGACAGTTGCTGTGTTGGCAACTATTCACTTGGTTGCCTCTTCTGCTTGCCCAAGCCAGTATGAAAGCAGTCTAGCCTCTGTTGCTGTTTGGCCATCTGGTTTTCACTGGGGCAAAGCAAGCTGTTGTGGTACTCAGACCAAGGTGGCCTGTGGACCGTGGAGGATACCCCGTGGTCTGGTTCCCTGGAGTCCCATGGGGGCTGCTCTGGGTTGCATGGGCTCATGAGCAGTTTACCCTCACAATCAGTGAGTTGAAGGTTGCACAGGGTGATGGTGGAGAAGAGTTTGAGCCGAGGCTCTTAGGGATGCAGCCTGCCTATCAAAAATAACATCTGAGCATTGCAGGGCCTGCTTATTTCTCTATGCACACTGGGAATGGAAGCTCGGGGCCCCTTCTCTGGCCCCGAGGATGGGTGGACTTACTAGGGAGATGTCTTTGAGGTGGAACTCCTGGGCGCCTCACTGTACCTCCCCACGTTAGTCATTACAGTTATGCTTATTGCGGTGCTTCCATCTACTGAGAACTTAATGAGCCAAAACTGCTGTTTATATCCTTGACATTCTTCCCAGGATAATATCAACAATCCGGCTTGTATTCTTAAGATGGACTAAATAAGGAAATACATTGGCTATTTTAGTGTAACCCTATCCCACTGTAGACAAAATAAAATCATATCTGAGGCTGAGGGAAGGACTCGGTCAATCAAGTGCTTGCTGTGCAAGAATGAGAATCAGAGTCTGATCCCTCAGAACCCAGACAAAGAGCCACGTGTGCAGTACACGTCTGTACTCCCTACATTAGAGAGACAGAGGGGAGCTTGGTGGCTGGCGGTCTAGCCAAAAAGTGAACTCTGAGTTCAGAAAGACCCGTTTTTTATTTAAAAAAATAAAAAATAAAAAGGTGGAGAGCAACTGAGGAAGACTTCTGCAGTCCACCTCTGGCCTCCACACACATGCACACAGACACACCTGGACACACACACACACACATGTCATCTTTCATCCCTCCACTGAGCCAAAGCTGCTGTTAAGATTTCAGAGTATGTATTTCCAGATTTTTTTTTAACATGGAAGTATATGTGGCATTTTTCAGTTTTTGTTTTTTAAAGATGTATTATTCTTGTTCTTGTTCTTATTCTTGTTCTTCTTCTTCTTCTTCTTATTTGTGTGACTATATGCGTGTGTCCCACATGCATACAGGTGCTCATGGAGGCCAGAGGAGGGCATAGAATCCCCTGGGACTGGAATTGCAGATGGTTGTAAACCACCGTGTGGGTGCTGGGAAGCAAACCTGGGTCCCCTGGGAGAACAGCAAATGTTCCTAACCACTGAGACATCTCTCCAGCCCCTTTTTAAGTTTCCAAACATTTACTTATTTGTATATGTTGGGTGGAGGTCACAGAACAACTTGTGGTGTTGTGCCCAGATCTTAAGGTCCCCAAAACCCAGCAGGAGACAGACCACGTACGCAAGAGCAAAGAGCTTTATTCAGACTTAAGTTCGGTCTCTCCACCGTCACCAATGCAGAGGATCAGAGAGGAGAGCCCCCAACAGCTACACAGAGTTTTTATTGGGGTGTGAGGAAGGACCGGGAATTTCTGGTTTACCAGTTACACAATTGGGTGACCAAGGGCAAGCTTGTTACAGAGTGATTAGCTAACTAACATAACATTGAGAGTGCTATCTGTAGACCTCAGCAATGTTAGGTCAGTGGGCTGCCCAGCACAGATGCCCCACCCATTCCATTCTTGTGGTTACCTCCAGGCTATTCCTTGTGCAGGGAATTTTATGGCTTTCTTATTCCTGGAATTGGCGAGCTATGACCTAGTTCCTGGGACTGATGACTTTTTGGGGAGAGGGTCAGGCCTGGTCCTTTCAGTGGGAAGTGCTTCTCCCCTTCCTTATGGGTCCCAGGAAATGAACGCAGGCTTTTACCCACTGAGCCATCTTGCTAGCTCCTGTGCTGCTTTCTTGAGTCATACTTCACACGTGGTAGAATCTTTTAGCAAGTGACCATGGAGTTCTTCAGAGCATGGCTTTGATGCCTTGGTTGAAACCTCATTTACATACTGTACAGCTCTCTCACTGGGTGGTTGTTCACACACTCAGAAGGTGCACAGCCTTCCCCAGGGTGACTGCTACGCCTTCACCTTCCCCAGCCTCAGGTCACCATGAAGCTGCTGGCTGCCTCTGGACTTCCTGTTCTGAGCATTCCTGTAAACAGAAAGACCACTGTGTGGTCTTTGGTGGTTCCTCCAGCATACGATTTCCAATGTTTATCCATGTTGTAGCATAGCAATGCTTTGTTCCTTTTGATGGCTGACTAGTATTCCATTGTGTAAGTACATTGCCTTGTGTCTGTCCTCTTGCTGGCTGATGAGCATCTGAGTTGTGACTGATTTTTGATGATTATGAATAATACTGCAGTGGAGGTGTGTACATAGCTCTGTGTGCAGTTCGGTCTCTCTTGGATGAAATGACAAGAGTGGCATTACAAGGTCTCACAGGAAACTCTGCTTCCCAAGACAGCCTCAGCATTCTGCAGCCCCATCGGTACATTATGAGGGCTAGCCTGGGTGACGATTCCCCAAGAGGGACTGCACAGCTGTGAGGGAAGAAAGAGCAAGCTGTGGGCTTTGAGCTAGTCTCTGGTCACTAAGTCTACTGGGGTCAGACAAGGGACAAAGGGCAAGGCTTCCCTCAGAGGATTCAATGGGTTTTTTTTTTTGGTAGGGGGGCAGGGGAAGGGCGCTTCTCAGTTGAGGGAGAGTGTTGCGTAGCTCTGCCCTCTAAATGGAAATTTCTGCTTTGTGTGTGTGTTGGGGGGCAGGGCTCATAGGAATTCGTGAGAACCTTCTTCCATATTATTTAAGCTATAAGCAGTCACTGGGGAGAAGAGACAGAAATGCCTGCAAACCGTGCAGGGGCTCCAGAGATGCAGATTCTGTGAGTTCTCAATCACACTGGAGCAGGCCATAAAGAAAACATAACAAAAAACTTGTGTGTGTGTGTGTGTGTGTGTGTGTGTGTGTATGTGTGTGTGTGTGTGTGTGTACAGACTCGTGCACTCCACAGCATTTGTGTGGAAGTCGTAGAACAACTTTTGGGCATGGGCTCTTTCTTTCTATAATGTGGATTCCAGGGACCAAACCAAAATTGTCAGTCTTGGTGGCAGGCAAGCACCCTTACTCACTGAGTCATCTTTCTAGCCTGTAGTGGGCCCTTTGTTGCTAGCTTTGTCTCCCACATTCCTATAATTAACCCTAGTAGACTCACTGGTTCTCTAATCTACAGTTGGTGGAATTCTTTTTTTTTTTTTTCTTTGTGGTCTGCCTTACCTGGAATGAATGAACATTTATTTACATTTCTCCAGAAAAAGTCACAGCCCAGGGAGGAAGGGCTGATGGTGGCGGATGGCAGATTGGGGATTGGAGATGGGAAGGTGGGGTGGGAAACTGGTCTCTTGGGGTTGAGGGCTTGATGAGCCCTGTGATGGCGATGTCACTTGCAAGGCGTGGTGACTGTGTGTCACTCTCTAGGTCAGCAGACAGCCTCCTGGGGGTTTGGCTGGCAGAGGAAAAG